TGCTGAGCCTGCAACAGCAGCAGAAAGGGAGGTTCTGAGAGGAAAACTTAGAAGAAGGCAAGAATGAAATCTAAGATGTGGTGGGTGTGGGTGGAGGGGATGGTGAACAGGCAGGTGGGAACCAGGTTATGGGGGAGCCTCGGTTTGCGGGGGCTATGCTGCTGGCTGTGGGGAGGCTTTTAGGAGAACGGAAGAACCAATTCCCCACCTCGAATTTGGAGTCACCACAAAGTGGGGTGAAAAGGGCATAGCTTTGGAGCTGGTGGATTTGGGCTTGAGTTCCAGGTCTGCTACCGGCGAGCCGTGGGATGAGGCACAAAGTGCTAGGTCTTTCCGAGTCTCCATTTCCATTGTGTAAAACAAGAATGATCCCTGACTCTGGAGAGTTATGGTAAGGATGAAATGAAAAGACATCTACAAATTGCTCGGCTTGGAGTCTCGTCCTTAGTGGTGCCTAATGAAGATTAGTCGCGGTCGCTGTTGTTGTCCCCCACCCACGTGTATCTGTCTGTGCCTGGGCCTGGCTACGTGCCTGGGTCTTCCTGGGCCCCAGAATCAGGCTGACTCCTTATTTCTCAACCTGGGACCTTCCCAAGGGCAGGGCCCACATGCATCATCTCCTGGTTCTACCTTTTGTTGAGAAGAAGTGATGTCACCTTGGGGCCTCTGGACAGCTCTACAGTGGCCTACGGTCTGGCTGGAAGGCTGGAGAATCCAGGGCCCCCTAAGGCCATCCATTGCCTTGTGGTATCTAAGGGAATCTGGGAGCCCAGGGAGCCTGGTGTGGACACAGCGTGTGCCTGCGTCTCCCTAGGTTTCCAGCCAGTTATGCCTGGAGTGGTCATTGGGCCTTCAGGCTCTGTAGTGAGCCTGTCACTCCTCATAGACTCCACAGAGGAGCTGGCTTAGCTCTCAGAGAGGGAACCCTGGGTGGGGGCTCAGAGGAAACTGACAGTCAGCTCTCTCACCCTCAGTGTGCATCCCTTCGCCCCACCTTCCGACACACAGACTCATTAGAGTCTAACAATCTTTCAGGCAATATTTATAGCACACCTCTTTGGTGCTGAGTAGTGTGTGAGATGCTGGGGAAATCATCCAGCAGAATGGACTGTGTCCCTGCCTGCAGAGCAGTCACAATCCAGAGGGGACCCAGACAATCATGCAGAGGTGAATACTCCTAGGAAGGGGGAGGCGCAGGGGCTGCAGGACTCTGGGGTGCACTTGATCCACACAGAAGGGCGGGGTGCAGACACCTGGGGAGATGTAACTGAATCCTGAGCTGGGGATCTGGGAGTGGTTTTATGATGTGAGAGCAGATGTGGGGGGCATTGAGAGTAGGGGAGGGTAGAGGAGAACAAGGGTTGGGGATGAAGCCAGGAAAGCTGGCAGGGGTCTTTTTTTTCCTCTTGGAATTAGGAATTGAACTCAGGACCATGCACTTGCCAGGCAGACAGTGCTATGGAGCTATATCTCTGGCATCAGGGGTCTTGAATGCCTCTCTGAGTGTGCTTCTACCTCAAGGGCAGCTGGGAGCTACTGGAAGGTTCTAAGCGGGGAGTGAAGAGGTCAGAGGCAGGTGCTACAGTGCCATGGGAGTGAAGAGGGCGAATTTGCCTTCAGGTGTCACGAAAGGCTCTTGGGGGATGTTGGGGGTGGGATGATCAAGGGTGTGTGTTTGGCAAGTTCAGAGCTCGGGAGTGTGAGGTGGGCTTGCTCTAGTGGGAGGGTTTGAATCTGGAGGGGCACAGAAAAATGGTGGGACTCTGACTGAAGGACAAGGGTGAGGCGGAGGCTGCCCCTGGAGAAAGACCAGGCTGTGATAGTGGTTCCCCCAGCTCCTCCCTTCAGGTTTCAAAGGCTGGTCCACTTCACACGATGTTAGACTAGACATGCTGCCTCTCTGAACCTCAGTGTTCTCAGCTGAAAGATGGGGAGCCCTTTCCTGCCACCCAGAGCGTCTGATTAATGAATGTGCTTCTATCTGGGCACCAAGTTCTGGGGCACACAAAGAAAGAGAAGCAGAGCCCAGGGCCCAGCAGCACCTGCATGACATGGTGAAGCTGAGACGGGCTCTGAGCATGTTGACCAGCTGAGAGTGCTTCGCGGGGCTGGCGGGAAAGGAGTTCTAGCAAAGTGTCCATGAAAAAGAGCTGGTGCAGGGGATTGGGGTCCAGGCTTTCTTTTTCCCTCTGGGACATGAGGCCTCTGAGACCCTCCCAGACCCTCAGACATGTGAGCTATCCAGTGCTGTGAGTGGGGCCAGGGGAAGAGAAGGAGGGGGTCATGAAAGATGAGACTGACCAGCTCTGCACCTCTGCATTTTAGTGCTCACCATTGGTTCCACAGGCAGCAGGGTGGGGGCTGGGGGTGGGGTTTAGGCAACAGGAACTTTGCCTCCGAGTCCAGCTTTGTCCACGCTCTGCAGAAGCTGCTAGGACAGTAGAGGATGGGGGGTGCTTTCCCTCCTGTGCCTCTCAGTTTTCCTACTTGTCTTCAGGCACCTGGATCTTGTTGGGAGCAGTTCTTGTGTGGGTGCCAGGAAGGTGGCAGGTGAGGCCACCAACATGCTAGGGTAGTGTACCCCAACATCACTGCCTTCCATGTGGGTAGGTGAGTCCTGTTTGCCTGCGGGGTCTCAAAGCCTGGGTGCCTTAGATTTGGGGCCTGGATAAGGGAGGGGCAAAGGGAAGCAGAGCAGGGGCCAGGGCTGGCTTGGCACTGTTTGACCACGGCACAATATTGCCTGCCCCATGTGCTGGGGCTCTGCCCTGTGTTGCCTCCTGCCCCAAGCCTGTCCCTCACTTCTCTCTCCCTGTCTGGTCCTTCTTTCCTCACTGTCCTTTCTTTTTTCTCCTCATCTCCTATGCACCTCCTGGGATCCATCTTCCTATTTCCCGCCCCGCAGTCCTTTTTTCCTGTCTCCTGTCTCCACAGCGCTCACATCTTCCCTCTTGAGCCTCCTGCTGGTACCTTCCAGTTCTTTTCCACTCACTTGACCCTACTGGAACTCTCCCCACTTTGTTTCAAACTGCTTCTTTTCCCTTCCTGGAGCACCTGGTATCTGTACAGGGGGTCATCCCATACCCTATCGGAGTCCAGGATCACCAGGATCTTCCTCTCCTCCCTCATTAAGCCTGGCTAGGTCCCAGCGTGCAGCCCAGTGGTGCTGCCCGCTGCTCACCTGGTTCCCCAGGCAGCAGCTGTGATTGGGGGAGGGCTGGAGTCGGGGACCTGACAGCTCCGCCAAGAGGCAAGAGAGAGATAGCAGCTTCCTAGCAGCTGAGGCTTCTCCTTGCTTATACTGGTTAGCAGTGGTAGTAGGGCTGGAGGTGAGGTTTCACTTGAAAATCTCGGGCTGTGCAGGAGTGCCTGTGGACACTTGGACAAAGTACGTCACGTAGGCAGTATGCATATTTCCAACGTGTGTGTGTGATTTCCCTGAGTGTCTGCAGCAGGATATGCGTGTTTGTGTGAATGTTGAGTGCACACAAGTGTACATCCATATGGATAGCATGTGGGTGCCTGCACACTTTGCACACCTGCAAATGTTAACTGTGGGCACTTGGAGGAGGTCCCTGAAAAATGTAATCTCATCTGTGCCTAGGGACTGGAGAACATTTGAGGGAGTGAGGGTCTGACAACATGAGGGTGCTCACAGCATGGCCTGTGTGTGAGGGAGGTGACCCCGGCAGGATCTCCAGTATCACAAGAGTGAGACCCAGGGAAGCTGTCTGTATGCATCTCTAGAGAGTGCTCTCCTGGGCTGGGCAAGGGCAGGGCTGACACGAGAAGTATTTAGTGATTATAAGCTTTTAAAGATGTGCCTTAGCCCTCACAAGGCCCCGGACACCATGAGTCCATGGAGTCACTCAGGGCTGACTTAGCCAGTACCTGAAGCCACAGGAATGAGAGGAGGCTGCATTCCCTTCTGGCGTCTTACCTACCCACCCTGCTGGGCTGACACCTACCCTGAAATATCTCCTGGGTGCAGGCCTGGGCTGCCCAACTGATGTCCCTGTTCAAACCAGACACCTGTCCTCCAGCTGCCTAGGCCTTGCTAGCCCTGCTCTTGGTTGAGATGAGGTTGCAGGGAACTTGGACCAGTCAGTTCTAGTTCCTCAGGAGGGGTGGGTAGGTGTGAGTGACCATGAAGCAGAGGGAAGGAGGCCCACTGGCTAGCTGACTAGCACTATGGAAATCAGTGTGGAGATTCCTCTAAAACCTAGGATTAGAGATCCCATTTGACCCAGCTATTCCACTTCTGGGTATTTCCCCAGAAGAATTAAAAACATCATATCATAGCAATATATGTGCACCCATGTTTGTAAAGCACAATTTATAATAGCTAAATCTTGGAAACAACCCAAATGCCCATTAACTGAGGAACAGATAAAAAAGATGTGATATTTTCATACAATAGAGTACTGCTCAGGTATAAATAAGGACAAAATTGAGACATTTATAGGGAAATGGATGCAACTTGAGACCATTAATAAGTAAGATAAGTCAGGCTTGCATGCATAGACATTGTAGTGTCTCCCTAGTGTAAGAAGCTGAAAAAGTAAATGGGAACCAGAATGTACAATAGATATTGTGAAGTGGAAAGAAGGTGTTCAAAATGAAACAGAAACTGGGGCTGGGGATTTAGCTCAGTGGCATAAGTGCCTGCCTTGCAAGCAGGCAGTCGTGAGTTCGATCCCTGGTACCGATAAAAACAAAAAAGATAAGAAAAAAAAAAAAAAAAAAAAAAACGAAACAGAAACTAAGATGGGGAAAAGAAGGAAGGGAAAAGGGAAAAATAAATAAATACATACATACATACACACTCAAAACAGTTAAGATAGTTTTATAGTTAAGATAGTTATACTACTGATATTCATTGAAAAGAAAGGTGTGTGCCCATATTGTTTGATCAATTTTTCATGCCTATAGCTTGTAATAGAAGCTACTTTGAAAATAACAATATATAATGTGCTAACCATTGTTACTCTCTTACAATCTTATTTTGAAATTTCATACCATTGTTTTTATTTTTTTTCTTTAAAATAAAAAATATAGGGCTGAGGATTTAGCTCAGTCACACAAGCACTTGCCTGGCAAGTGTGAGGTCATGAGTTCAATCCCCGGTACAAAACAAACAAACAAACAAACTCTAAAAAATATAAATGCTGGTTGGAAGAATGAACAAAAACATGGCAGTCCTCAGCGGTGGTGCTGAGGGAAAGTGAGTAGCTTAGTGCTGGGAGATTGGGCTCTGAAGTTATCTCTGCTCCGTCCTCTCTGAGCCTCATTCTCCTCCTTTCTAGGAAAAGGCTTCACTTCCCACGGGGTCATTACACCACTGAAATGTGGTGGGGTACCTGGGGCCAGGCACATTGTAGGCAGTTTTCCCAGGAAGCACAGGTGCCTGTCTCCTCGCTGCAAGTTGACAGTGCACCCAAGTCCTTTCTGTAGCAGCTCTGGACCAGCCATGAGTCAGCTACAGCTGGGCAGCAGGACTCTTTGGGCTTCAACTCAGGAAGCATGAGTCAGGCCTAAATGGAGAAGAGGGAGGTCACACTGGGGTCAGATACTAAACCCAGGCAGGAGCAGTCCTGTGCTTTATCTGCCACCTTATCTTGATGTCCATTGCTAATACCTAGATCTCAGGAGCTAAAAAGCAAGGATCTGGGGCTGCACCATGTACTCCAGCTCTGTGGACTGAAGGTAATGTTGATGTGGGCTCCATAATGGGCAGATGATTTTCAGACAGAATGACTGGAAAAGGGCCTTGACAAGCTCGAGAAGGCATTTTTTCCATAGCTGCTGCTGTGGCTTCTGGAGGACAGGAGCTCCAGTCCTGGGATTGCTCTGCCTGGGAATTCCCTCACTTGCATCAGAGCTCTGGAATCCAGTTAGAAACCCAGAGTCCTTTCTCTGCTTTCCACAGAGCTCAATTCTTTATCTAGATCTAACTATCTCTGGTCAAGATGCAGATGCGCATTACTCAGGATTTGCTGAATACCTGAGGGACGGAAATTCTTCTTGTTAATCCTTTCTGGACACCCCTGACTGAGCTCTGTTCCCCGTTGCCAAAAGCTTTACCCTTTCAGTACAACGGACAGTGCCCGTACATAGGAGTGCGTGTGGGTGTGGGTGTGGGAGTGGATGTGTTCTGGTGGTCTGGGGTTTGTGTCTCCCCTTGCAATCTCCAGGGCCTGGCTTCATATCTCTAGGGGACATTGTTGCTCTAGGGCCACGGCGGACTTGTCAATTTTTTATGGCAGAAAATGATGCCGTATCCATCTCTTAGTAACTGAACAAGCCACTCTAGACACCTACTTACATGAATACCTTAATTTAGGGTAAAGTTGCTTCCAGAAGAGCCTTTGCAGGCTGAAAATGGGTTGAAGCAGTGTGGTGGAGGCTTCTCTTTTTGCCTTCCAGAGATGCAGACAAAGGTGGTATGCATACAGAGAAACACGTCATTCGCAGAGCATGTGTGGTGGGCCGGCAGTGTGAGGAAATGGGTAGCAAAGGCGGCTCGAGGGTGAACTTGTACAGCCCTTGGGACAGCACTTCACAGTCACATCCTGGAAGAGATACACATCAACAGATGTTGAGTTCTTTCCCGTTCTTGTCATTTGCAGAACTATCCCAGGGAAAAATCAAGCCTGTAGAGATGCAAAGGTGAATGAGCAGCCTTACTGGGGAAAAACCAAACCTCACAAACTTTTTGTGTCCAACTACTGAAGCACTGGTTCCCAAGGGAGCCTGCATTTACTTCTAGCAGGTACATACCAGTTCATTCCTGCCCATCCCTTCTAGGAAGCCACACTGGGGACGTGATGTAGAGGTCCAAGGACAACAGAATGTCTTCAATAAGATCAGTAAATACAAATGTAACGTGAAAGACTCCATGTGATCTCCACTTCCTCTCTCCCCCTCCCTTCCCAAGCTCCACCTTCACTAAGTGTGCAGGGCCTGAGGGAAAGTCTTTATCCCAGATGGGTGTGGAAAGAATTCTGTGTTGTCTCCTCCTACTCCAGGCCCCAGAGGCCAAGGGCTTCTGCCCCGCTCCTTGAGTGCTTAGTTTGGGGCTTTGTCACTTAAGCCTTGGCCTGAAGCCTTGGTGCAGGCCTCCCATGCTTGGCCTTGTACCTGACCCCTGGAATGAGAGGTGTTTGCCCAGCCTATGCCTGGCACTCTGTCCCTGATAGTCAGGATGAACAGGTTCGGCCACCTGGGCTGGCTGTAGCCTTTGGTTTTAGTGAGATAAATGAAGAGTCAGAGCTTTTGATTACAGCTGACATACATATTTGGGACATTTTTGTTCTGAATCATTTTTAACTTACGGAAAAGCTGAAGGAACAGTACAGATAATTTTTTTCTTTGAACTATTCCTAAGTTGCTTGTTGACCTGATAGCTCTTAGTCCCCAAACACTTTAATGTGAATTTTCTACAAACAAGAATATTCTCTTATTTAACTATAATACAACTATTAGAATCAGAAATTCAAGATCAATGTGTTACTGCCACCTAATCTTTAGATTGCATTCAATTTTGACCAGTTGTTCCAACAATGTCCTTTGTAGTAAAATGATTCAGTCTGCAATCATATGTTGTTGCTTTTGGTTATCATTTTTTGTTTCATTTTATTTTTGCAGTGTTAGGAATAAAATCTAGGGCCTTGCATAGCTGGGCAAGCCTCTACTACTGTAATATACTTCAGCCTGTGAGTATCATGTCTCATTGATCTTATTTTTATTTTTTTAAAAAACAAAGCACAGTTCCTTAGTTTTGATTTTCATGACCTTGACATGTTGGGAATAGGTTGGTTATTTTACACAATGTCTCTCAATCTGAGCTTGTTTGATATTCGCTCATATTTGGTTCTAGTTCTGGCTTTTTGGCAGAGAATCCCAGAAGTGATGCATGTTGTTCTAAGGCATTATGTTATGGTTTGTGTTTGGATGGCCCCCTAAAACTCAGACAGTCATAGAGGCAGCTGAACTTACCATTTGTGATTGGTTTGTTGTCTAGTTCTGGGATTGGCAGTGTGAGTGTTGCACCCAGCAAGGGACAGTTAGCCAGCATACAATATGAGGGAGGGAAGGAGGCGTGCTTTGCCCTTTTACTCTGTTGGCTTTTGTCTCTTTTGGCTGCCGTGAACAGCCGCCCCTTGAAATCTCCAAAAATTGTAAGCTGAGGATGGACTGAACCCTTCAAAAATTGTAAGCTACATAAATCTTTCCTTCCTTCATTTTGGGCATTGAGTATTTTTGTCTCAACAACAAGAGAAAAGTAACCAAGACACATTGTGTCCAAAAAGGGTGCACTGGTGATGTTCATTTTGTATTACTTGATTAAAATGGTGTCTTCTAGGTTTTTCCAAGTAGAGCATTCTTTTTTTTATTCCATTTTTTTTTGTACTGGGAATCAAGCTCAAGACCTTGTGCTTACCAGGAAGGCACTTATACCTCTGAATTATAACCCAGCCCTATTTTTCTTTTTGCAATTACAAAGCACTTTGTGGAGAGATGTGAATGTGTAAATATCCTGATCGTCATCAAGCTTAACTCCCACTGCTTTTTATACCACTGATGTTTCTAGGCTTAATTATTACTATGATAGTTGCCAAATTCATGATTGACTACTACATTTATTAGTTGGCATTTTCTATATGAAAGAGCTTTTCTTCTCAATTAATTAATTAATTAATATTTGTGTAGAGTAAGGAATTTCTATTTTACTCATTATTTACTTTTATTTTATGTTTTGGTGGTACTGAACTGAAAATATTCTCAGGGAGTTATATCCCAAGCCCTTTTTTATTTATTTTGAAGAGGATCACACTAAGCTGATAAGTTACCCAGCTTGAGATCCTCCTCCCTCAACCATCTACAGTGCTGAGTTTACAGATTAGGATACTACATCTTGGCTCATCATTTATCTTGATGCTCACATTTTCCTAGCTTTGGGCAGGTGGACATATTCAAGCTGGCTTTTGTGTTCTTTCTATATATCCTTTTTTACTTTTTAAAGTACTTCCTAACTCTCTAGAATGAGGTGTTATTGCCTCATTTTGTGCTTGAAATTAGCCATTTCTCTGAGGATGCTTGTTTTTTCTGGGGGAGGGAGATGTATTTAGATGTCAAGATTTGAAAAACTATCTGTGCTTGTTTCTTTGAGATTTTTCTCAGTGGTTGTTGGCTTCTCAAGCTAGGAAAAAGGCTATCATCTTTGAGCGTAGTGATTATGAAACCTGTTCAGGTGGTGAACTATCTGGAAAAAATGTCTTTTAATGTAAAAATAGATATGCACTTGTCTTGCAGTGACCTCAGGGAATTTTTGATTCTGGGAATTTTTTCAGATAGCAAGACTCAAGGATGCTCAAGTCCCTTCTGTAAAATGATACAATATTTTCATGTATCCTTCTATATAATTTAAATCATCTCCAAATCACTTTATACCTGATACAGTGTAAATCTATGTATATAATTGTTATACTTCATTGTTTAGGAAACAGTGACAAGAAAAAAATCTGTATATTTCAGTCTGATACAGCCTTTTCAAATACAGTGGTACTTTGGTTCAGGATCTTAATGTGTTCTGTGATTTTGAAAAAGATGGTTATGTTTGTGTTTGTGCAGGAAAGATGGCTGTGGTTATTTTTGTTACTCAGTGTAGAGTTTGCAAACAAAAGTTCTGCCAAATGCTTTTGTTTGTAAACCAAATTGTTTGTGAGCTGAGGTAATACTTTATTTTGGATCCACAGTTGGATTAATCTGTAGGTGCAGAATTTATGGGTCTAGAAGCCAACTGCATTAATCAACTTCACTGATGGGAAATAAAATCATTAAGGGAAAGAGTTAGAAAATATAGTATATGTGTATATATATATATATACATATATATATATATATAGTATATATTTTTAATTTGGTTATCTACTTATGTTGGAGGAAATGAATTCACACTGATCCTTGCAGTCTTTTTTTTTTTTTTGCGGTACCTGGGGATTGAACTCATGACCTTGCACTTTCCAGGCAGGCGCTTATGCCACTGAGTTAAATCCCCGGCCCGATCCTTGCAGTCTTAAGCTTAACCTCACATAGTTCATTCACTTTTTCTTCTTTATTTGTGAAGTCCTTCTCCTGCTGTGGGAGTTTGTCTTTCATCACACCTATGTGTAACCCATCTTTCCTTACAACCCCTGCCACTAGTCCAGATATCTTCCTCTGTGAAGGGGCAAATAGCCTCACCTACTTTTGCCCTGATAAGAACGTCTGCCTTGCTTGGCCCCATTTTATAACTTTGGGACTGCATTGATTAGGCTGTCAAGAACAAAGGCTTGCAGGAAACATTTTGGGTGTTCATTGACTAATAAGCATACCAAAACAAATATCACTTTTTTTGATATTTGTTTGGTACATTTTTCTCACTGAGATGGCTTCCAGTTGGGTGGGACCTGAGAGAAAGAGGTCTTGCAGAACAAAGAAAATCCAAGGTCATGGCCAAACATTAGGATTTGGCTGCCAGGGCTATAATGGTAAAGGAAGGGAAAGGGGAGGGACCCTAACCGTAAGTCCCATGGTTATCCCTAACCATGGATGAACTCCCAGAAGATGTTAAGTGGTAGTGATATATTGGGGGTGGGGCTACAAAATCTGCCACTGGATATGTAACATGGAAGTGACTCCAGAGATAACTTCTTTATTTTTGGTACCAGGGATTGAACTCATGACCTAGTGCTTGCTGAGCAGGTGCTGAGCTAAATCCCTGCCCCCAGAGATCAACTTCTTGATGCACAAGTCAGCTGCTGGGGCTGTAGACAGAAGGTCTATGTTCAGCTTTTGTGTCTACTTCTGCTTCCTCCAATTCCATTTTCTGTTCACTTTATTTGCAACATACTCAATCAACTATCTGCAAGAAGGCCTTCGAACATAGAGGCAATCCCATCAGTCAGCAAGGGCTAAGGGAAACTGAGTCCAAAAGTAGTCTTGGAATAGAAAGATGGCTGCCAGGGGTAGGGCAGGGAGTTATTTTTTAATAGACAGAGTTTCGGTATGTGAAGATGAACAAGTCAGGAAAATGGATGGTGTTGACAGTGGGAGTATACCATACTATGTGACCTGTACACCAAATTGCTAAAATGATAAATTTTACGTTAGGAGTTTCTTGTTTTTTTTTTTTTTTTTCAGCTCTGGGGATTGAATCAATCAAGGGTCTCATGTGTGGTAGTAAGCACTCTACCATTGAGCTACATCACCAGCCCCTCCCCCCTTTTTTCTTTTTCCTTTTTATCAGTACTGGGGATCGAACTCACGATTGCTTGCTTGCAAGGCAGGCGCTTATGCCGCTGAGCTAAATCCCCAGCCCCACACCAGCCCCTTTTTAAAAAAATTATTTTATTTTGAGACAAGGTCTTGTTAAGTTTCTCAGGCTGGCTTCAAATTTGTGATCCTCCTGTCTCAGCCTCCTAAGTATTTGGGCTAACAGGTATATATCTCTATGCCCAGCTATGTTAGTAGTATTTTACATCAACAAAAGAATTTTTAAAAAGATCATATGTTTTGCTCAAAAGT